CTGAATTTGGGCAAAAATCAACCTAAAATACTTTGTTTCCGCAATTTTATTTATTAGTTCCCGCCCTACATTTGAATTCAAACTTGTCCCGATTTCGCCGCCAATCCTCTAGCCAATAGTAGAGGTGATTGAAAAGAAGCTCTAGAAGCTTCATTTTTTGCTTTTAGTGCTCCGTCTTTATGTCTTTGGTCGAGGTTCGGGGGGAAGGATCCTCTGAGTTGACTAGGATCCTACGCGAGAATGCGCTACAATCACCCGCTCACAACAGAACGGCGTCCTATAGAACTCGTCCCTGCAAGGCGGATAAAGAATGGTGGTCGCATTTCAATTTTGGCTGCCATCTTGAAGCGATGTGACGTCAGGAGGGTACTGGTTTTGCCGTGCAATCCAAGGTTGAGCCGACCCCCCCGGCCTCCGCCGGCCCATGTACCCGATACAGTGTGACGTCCAGAGGGTACGAAATGCGACCACCATTCTTAATCCGCCTTGTCGTCCCTGGTACCCTGGTTCAGTCCCAGTACTCCCAGTCCAGTCATTTCGTGTGTGCGGCGGCATGCTGCACTCACCTTGGGGTTTCGGGGAGGAAATTGGGTTAGGGTAGTGCGGATGTGGATGATGGAAGACGAACTAGAAGTCAAAGTGATTCATCAGGCGTTAATTTCACACATGAAACTCGTGTCCAAGTTCGTGGGTTCACCTCCCAACATTAGTCAACTTTGGCATGGTTGGCGTCTGTGCCGAGCCAATTTACTGAGACCTGAGTTTCTATTAATTACTTTAATTACGTTCATTATCTTCTTTTATTTGCATGCTGTTACCCTATGGAGCCGTAATTTGGTTGGTCGACTAAATTTCGATGTGAATAGAGGCTCATCTTCTGGATCCCAGAAACTTAAATATCTCAACCACATTGGTTTGAACGATGTCGAGAAGTTCAAATGGGAAATTGTGAACGGAAATGTGGCAGCTTATGCTATCCAGGGAAGACGTCCAAAAATGGAAGACAGATTTGTGGTGAACAAAAATATCAATGACACAGGCGTATCATTTTTTGCAGTCTTTGATGGACATGGTGGTGAGGTAAGATGTATCACCCTGTTATCGTTTCTTATAATAATTTGGCATGGTTCAACATCTGGGCACTAGAAAGAAAATCCCCAGATTTTGCTAAAAATCCCTAGAACTTGCTATCAATCCTCAGAATTTGCAAAAAACTGCCTCAAATCATGTTGGCGTCGATGTATCCATTTGCAATATTTATATCTGATTGGCTCGTCTGAATTTTGCTGCTCTCTGAAAGCAGTGCTAAAACAGATCAATAAAATGAAAGAATATTAATTGAGTTTTTATAATTTTTTTTACTGTTGAATGTCAAGTATATCAAGTGACGCAATCGTTTTGAGTTCCGGCTTATTTCCAGGGAAAATAGTGTTGCTAGTAAGGTCTACAAAATTTAGATGAAAGAATATTTATAAGTTACCTTGCTCATCACCAAAAGTAATGAAATTTGCTTGATATTTAGGTGGTTTAAAAAATATTTTTCTCCAAAAAACGAGCGGTTGGGATTCTGAGTATGAAAAGGGACAACAAATATTCAGGCGCAAGGGGGGGTGATGAGGGGAGGCCTCCCCCCCATCACCCCCCTTTGTGCCTAAATCTTTGTTGTCCCTTTTCATACTCAGAATCCCAACCGCTCGTTTTTTGGAGAAAAATATTTTTTAAACCACCTAAATATCAAGCAAATTTCATCATTTTTGGTGATGAGCAAGGTAACTTATGATGTCAAAATGTGGTAACATTAGAAAAAACTTTTCTTTAATTCGTGATCCACTTGCGTGGGACGTTATCACGCTTGTTTCACCGCTTTTTTTCAAGGTCTGGTGTTGAGGTTATGTTGACATTCTATGCTTTCACTGAACAGCATTGCCGATTAATTAGATTACATAAGGAGGATGCCAAACCATGCATCTTCGAAAAAAACGAGTTCTGTAGGTGCCAAACTTACCGAGTTAAGAATAAAAAACGGAAATAAATCAAAATTGTCCCTATTTAACCACCTGTCCCCATTCACCCCAGATTATGGAACCTTTTTTGTGCCAGAATTTTCAAATAACCACCGAAAATGAATACAATTTTAGTCTTACTTCTTTTCATAATTGCTTGAATCCTATCAATACTGAATTAGTGCTTTTAAACTGGTTTCGTAGCATCACTGATTATTACATTCTTTTTTTTTTTTCAGTTTGCTGCCAATTATGCACAAGAAAACTTAATGGTAACATTAATTAGCAAAATTGCAGCTCTACAGAGATTAATTGCAAATGGTGTCCCTTCGCATGGCTCTTACATTGCCCCATCAAATGTTCCCTTATCAAGTCCTGAAAACAAAGCAAAGGATGTCACTGTTGAAAGAGAGAAAAACTTGAAGAAGACTGCCCCTGCTTCTGTGACAGATGACTGTTTGGAGCAGTCGATGAAAATGGAAATAACTGATCCACAGATTTTAGAAAAATTATGTCATAAAATTACAAGGAAAGTCTTAGGACTATCTGCAACTGACGTATCATCTCCACCAGCTGCTGATCTACAAACCTATCTCATCAAGGAAAAGTCAATAGACTACAGACAACTACTACATGATGTTGTCCTTTCTACAGATAAAGAGCTTGTAGCTGCTGCAAAAAAAACAATGAACATAGCAGGTAAATACTCTTTTTCTGCTTATCCTCACCTCAGTTAATCAGCGTCTCCTTTTTCTAAAAAAGAAATACTAAAATGACCCTATTTTTCCATCTTTAAGGGAAATTAGAGAGTTTGACATTGTTATTCTCAATGATAATTCTCCCAACATAAGTGGCATTTTCCTTAGGATCCAATGGGTCTTTAGTCAGTGGGTTTATTTTATTTGATATTTTACCCGAAAACCTTTAAAAATGCATAACTACTCTTCATCTCAACCGATTTCAATGAACTGTTTTTCAATTGTTTCTCTTAAATAGAGTTTTCTAAAAGTGTATGGTTATTTGGGTTCACTTGGCCTTGGGCGACACACAGTTTTAGCAGTTTTTGGTGAACACAAAAATTTGGTTTTCATTTTACTAGAGTCTTAAAAACGACGAAATCTAAATGAAAGCCAATCAAAATGAAAGTTCAGCTTTTCATTTTTCTAACGAGCTAAAGATCATCGTGAGAAAATGTTTAGTTTCCGAGATACAACCGTTCAAAGTTGGTCAAAGTCCGTTTTTCGCATTCAGAAACCACTGACAGTGATGTGGGTCGGTAGCCGAAATAAATGAGACGCTGATGATCACTCAAAGATGTTTATTATAGCGAGATCACGACTTGAACAGGAAGGGCCTGGCTCTGGCTAGTGGCCTGTCTGTCTGTGGGTGCCCCGTTGCCAGGTCGGGCACACACCCTATTGAGTAAGGCTATGATGCCACATAGCCTTACTGCACCTCCCGATTTTTTTTTTTTTTTTTTTTTTTTTTTAAAGAAAGCACTTGGTGCGTGATTATGTGTGGGATATTTCCACATTCATGTTGCTTTCTGAGCAAAATAAAGCTGTATGGAGCTTAGTAATGTAGCCATTGGGCTGAGAAAATAATAATGTCGCCATTGGGCGTAATGAATTATTTATGTAGCCATTGGGCTTAGAAACTGATAATGTCGCCATTGGGCGTAATGAATTATTTATGTAGCCATTGGGCTGAGAAACTAATAATGTCGCCATTGGGCGTAATGAATTATTAATGTAGCCATTGGGCTGAGAAACTAATAATGTCGCCATTGGGCGTAATGAATTATTAATGTAGCCATTGGCTTAGATACACTTAATGTCGCTATTGGGCGTATTGAGTAACTTATGTTACCACTAATTTACTTGAGATAATTACAATTCAAAGGTTAGGGGTGGGAACCCCAGTCATAGGTACTTTTAAATTGGTATTTCATTTGACTAGTTTCATTTTATACATTAATTAAAATCAATATCACAATTAAATAGATTGAACATTGTTCACGAGGCAAATACACAGGAAGAAATGAGTAGTCACTTGCTTTGATACACAGTTTTTTCATATTAGTACATCAGGTAGCACTCTAATTAATTCACTTCCTTACAAAGTCATTTCCGAGTTTTTTGGGAATACCTCGTCCACCATGTCTTAATTTTTGATTGAATGGGCTATTCTTATTAATATTTATGACCTCCTTAGGTGTTGAAGTGCTTGGTTCTGTCTCAAATCCCAAAAAATCTTCTTCATCTGTACTTTCTGTCTCCTCATTTGTGACTTTTTCTTTTGGCACATTAGGTTCAATTACAGTGATTTCACTAGAGTCATCTGATGAGACAGAGTTAAGGGAATTTTCAGTTGGATTTTTAATCGGAGGAGCCAGATTGAAAGTTTGAATTGGAGCAACCTGATTAGCAGCATTTATGTTATGTTCATTATCAGTGTTCCCTTGTGGTAAATAAAACAAGTAGGGGTTAACATCGTTTTCTGTCCTAGAATTACAATAATTTTTCCTTAGAAATTTTGAGTTTCGTACAATGGTTCCCCCGTCTTCCTTAGATACTAGATATGATCTTGGAGCTTCCAACTTTTTAATTATTCTCCCTGGATACCAGCGGTCATCTTGTTCTCTAATGAAGATCTTTTCATTCTCTAGAAACTCTTGTTTAGGTTTACTACTTTGGTTATAGTGACTCTCTGTTTTTCTCTGATGTTCCCTCATTTTTTCTGAGACATTGATGATCTGAGGGACCAAAACTTTTTGAGACACTGGTACATTTGTTCGGAGGACTCGATTCATTAGCAGTTGAGCAGGAGACGCTCCAAGAGCTGGGATAGGAGAATTGTTATATTCCAAAATAGCAAGATCCAAGTCGCCTTTGCTTTCTGTGACTTTTCTTAGCAGCATTTTGGCTCTTTTCACCCCGTTTTCTGCCATGCCATTGGATTGTGGGTATTTAGGACTCGATGTTTGGATTTTGAAATTGAACTGTTTAGCGAATTGACTTAACTCAAAAGAACCAAATGGCTGGTTATCTGCAATGACAAGCGCTGGAATACCGTGAATTTTGAAAATCTCTTTAAAAAGTCTGATTACTTCTAAAGACGTTTTATTTCTCATGGGTCTCACCTCAAGCCATTTCGAGTAGTAATCAGTTAGAATTAAGAAAGATTTTCCTGCAAACTCTGCTATATCAGATCCTACCTTGTGAAACGGCAAGTTAGGAATGGTGTGAGAAATCAAAGGCTCCTTTACATTTTTTGGTAGAAATTTACTACACGTGGGACACGCTTTTATATAATTTTCTATGTCTTTGATATAAGTAGGCCAGTAGACAATTAATTTAGCCTTTTCTATTGTTTTGCTGATCCCTAAATGCGAGTCTCCATGCAGTAATTTTAGGTAAACTGTTTTTAATTCAGTTGGAATGATTAATCGGTTTTTAAAATATATAATATCGTTATTCATTGCAATTTCATGCCTGATCTTATAGAAAGGTTTAAGGGCCTCATCGTTACAACTGTTCCAGTCTTGTAAATGCATTTGCTTCACACGTTCTAACATTGGGTCACTACATGTAGCTTTTTGCAGTTCTAGGAATTTTGGGGTTGATAATTCAAAGTTGGTCTCAATACAATGAACCACCTCATTTAATGGGATAAAATCCTCTGGCTTACCATTTAAAAAGTTTCTTGAGAGCAGATCGGCTAGATACATATTTTTTCCTGGAATATATTTTACTTCTAGGTCATACGGTAGCAGTTTGAGTAGTAGTCTCTGTAGGCGATTTGACATAATTTGAGAAATATTTTTCTGAAAACTAGGCTCTAAGGGTTTATGATCATTTTCAACATAAATTTTATAACCATATACAATGTTATGAAAGCGTTTGGTTCCAAATACAATACTGAGAAGTTCTTTTTCGATCTGTGCGTAGCGACATTCCGCATCAGATAAGTTACGAGACGCAAAAGCTATAGGTCTTTTTTCTTGCAAGAGACAAGCTCCCAGACCAAATTGAGACGCGTCACATTGCAGAGTTATCTTTTTCGCTGGGTTAAAATTAGCTAGACTGCTTATTGCACAAACTGCCTCTTTTATTTTATTGAAGTTCTCAGTATGTATCTGTTGCCATGTGAACACTGAATTCTTTTTAAGCAATCCTCGAAAAGGCTGAATCAGGTCCGCAAGATGAGGAATATATTCACGGACATAATTCACACTCCCCAAAAAACTTTGTAATTCCTTACGATTATTTGGATTTTTTAATTGCAAAATGGCCTCCAAGTATTCTGGATTTGGGCTAATTCCTTCCTGATTGAGAACGTGCCCCATGTAATTAATAGATGTCTTTTTAAATTGAAATTTAGATTTATTAAACTTAATATTCAGTTCTTCTGCTCTTCGCATTACCTCTGCAAAAGCTCTGTCATGCTCTTCTTCAGTTTCACCACAAATTAGTATATCGTCAAAATAGATGATTACATTCGGAATATCACCGAAGTATTTGGTCAATACTTTTTGAAAAATTTCTGGGGCACAAATTATTCCAAACGGTAGTCTCAAAAATTTGAAACTTCCAAACGGTGTGTGAAACCCAACGTACTTTGTTGATTCTGGAGACAATTTACAATGCCAAAATCCATCCTTAATATCTAGAACAGTGAACAACTTTTTGTTTGTGAGTTTAAGTTTAATTTCTTCAAAGGATGGTATGAGAAAAAGTTCTCTTTTAATATGTTTATTCAATCGATTAGGATCTAAGCACACCCTGATGGATCCATCATCTTTTTCCACAACGACTAGGTTACTGAACCATATTACATTCTTGACATCATTTGAGATTATGTTCAAAGATTGTAATGCATTTAATTTATCTCGCAGGGGAGTTCTAATTTTATGCGGCAATCTTCTCGGTGGATCATTTGATGGGATTGCATTAGGTGAAACAAATAAGTCAACTACGTCTGGAAATTCTCCAACGCCGGAAAACTGTTTGGGAAATTTTGCAAGAACTGCAGCCTCATCAGTGAAGGCAGACACATAATCTATTTGTTTTTTAAAAATTAGGCCAAGTTGTACTGATGTTTGTAGGCTTAACAGAGGGGTAGAGCCTGTTTTGGTTACAGTGAACTTAATTGTATAAGGAACACTAGTATTGGGTAATTGACATTTTAAGGTTACGTTACCAAAAGTTTCGATAGGAGCTCCCCCATATCCCAGAACCCTTGTTGTATTGGGAACTAAATAATCACTTAAAGTCTTAACTTTTTGATAAAGATGCCACGGTAAAATATTTATTTCGGCACCGGTGTCGATTTTGAAATCAATGAAAGAATTATTAACCAGCGATTGTTGCATCCAGAACTCATTTGTCTCAGCGGAAGAAACTACATTTACATTTACATGATTTGATTGATTAGCATGATGCGTTTGATAGCTTGCTTTTTGATTGCGACCCGCACTCGCTTCACTTTCAGAGCTTTTACCGCACTTGCTCAGATTATAATCAGTAATAGGGGGATTTGAAAAGGACTTTGGAAAATTATGTGGAATGCAACTAATTTCTGAGACATAAACATAATCTGAAGCTTCGACTTCATCAAGGTGCACTGAAGGTGCTGAATTTTCAGGACAAATCACTTCGTTAATACGGCACATTTTTTCAAAATGATTTCGACCCAAG